CGCATATAAATAAATCAGATTTGAATATTATTCAAGGTATGAAAATATGAATTATTATTATTATTATTATTAGGTTTTAGATTTTTTTATGAGGTGTCTTACCGGTTGGTTGTTTTTTTTTTTTTTTTAAATAACTCTTCTGAACGTAAAACGGTTATAAAAAAAAAGAAAGAACACAAAAAAAAACAATTTATACGGGAGTTTAGTTTATTTAACCGTTAATATTTATTATTATTATTATTATTATTATTTTTGTAACCGTCTGGTAAGAGTGGTTGAAAAAATAAAATGGCTGAGTTTGTTTAAAAAAAAAAAATTAAAAATTTTTTTTGATTATTCGAGTAATTAATAATTACCGTCGAGTATCATTCAATATGAAAAATTAATTAACCGTGGAAAGAAAATTTTTTTTTTTTTTTTTTGCTACGCGTCGATTTGCGTTCGTGAAAAGTGTCCGAGTGCGCGTGCGCATACGAAATTCCTTTTCGTGATAACTAATTTTGATTCGAAGGGAGAAAAAGAAAGAGAGAGAAAGAGAGAAATGAAAATTCGATATTTAGAAATGAAAAATAATTTTGTAACCCCGAATGAGGGGAGGTCACGGCCTAACGTTCGATAGTTCATAATATGAATAAGGTATGGAAAGGAAAACCTAAAACAAATCGAAATGGAAAGTCAATTTGTACACGTCACACATTTGTAAAAACAATAAAATAATCGCGCCATAAATTCACCAAAAAAAAAAAAGAAGGTAGATGGGCCAAGGCTGGAATTTTCCATAAAAAGACAAAAATATCAACGCAAGTGGGCGTGCTAAATAATAATAATAATAATAATGATGATGATGATAATAATATCATTACATTTTTTTATTTTAAATCGGACAAAACGTTTGAAATTATTAATAATGATGAAAAAACGAAAACGAAAACCTTGCAAGACCTGATTCGAATCGAAATGCTATTAAAAAAAAAAAAAAAAAAAAAAGTACCTGAAAAATTCGTTCAAAATAATAATAATAATCACAATAATGGTGATAATAATAATAATAATAATAATAATGGTAATAATAAAAATTTTTTAATAATTATTATTTTATTGCTTAAAGTCTATCTTTTTTTTAAAGTTATTTTTTTGGTTACGCCCAAAATATTTTCGTTTTTTCTATTATTATTATTATTTTTTTTTTTTTCGAATCAGACATCGTCTGCTTTTTAGTAATCTTAAACAATTGTTTTTTTTTTATTTTGGATAAATATAAAGAGTAAACAGGAGCTCGTTTTAATTTCGATTGAAACAATTTTTATTCATCTAAAAAAATTCGAAAATAATTTTTTTTTTTTTCTGTAGCCATGACTAACTAGTATTGTGGTAGTAGTAGTAGTAGTAGTGATGTTAGTGGTAGTAGTATTAGTAGTTCATTGACCAATTAGACAGATTCTTGATCAGATTGTGGGGGTCTGGTTCTGGTTTTTTTTTTTTTCCATTTAAATAATTTCAAACCGAATAATAAAACGTTTTGCGAATCGATTTCGAGTATTTTTTTTTTTTACCTTTACGACAAGTTTTAAAATGGAATCATGTACACGCACTCATGCACACACTCACGTACGCATTTATCGCCGGCGCTAAATTAATTAAATAATTTTTAATAATTAAATTTTTTTTTTTTTTTAAACGAAATCCGTTGGTGTGGAAAACGATAAAAGCGTGTTGGTAACCGATACTCTTAATAACAAATAAAAAAATAAAAAAATTTTTATTTTATTTATTTAACAATACAAACAACAACAACCAACAAACACACACGAACGGGGAAAACAATAACCGATAAAACATAAAGCATAAAACATAAAAAAAATGATGGTTTTTTTTTTTTTTTAAATTTGATTTCAAAACTAAATGGGCGGTAACGAGATTGACATACACCGAAGTAAAAAAATTTCAAAAGGATTCCTTCGTTTGACCTTTTTTTTTTCTCTTTTTTCGGGGAGAGGGGGAAAGAAGGGGGAGTCATTCGATTTATTTTCTATTTATTTAACCATTAAAACTATTCGTACGTATCATCGCACTTGATTTTTCTATACAAACAACTTTTTACCCCCCGTATAATTAGTTTTCTACGGTCCGAATGAAATAAAAAAGTTGAACATATTCAAAAATTACTTCGTCGAAAAAATTTCACCGGATTCATATTATCATTATCATTAATATTATTATTATTATCATCATTATTATTATTTCACCTTAGGATATTTTATAATTTTGTTTTTTAATTAGAAAAAAAAAAAACTAACTGACATGAAAAAGTTTTTCTTTTTGTTTTTATTAACTTTCGAATTTATCATTAATAATTTTATTTTATTACCACCCCCCTTCCCCTTCCTCACTGCCTTTACAAAAAAATTCAATTTTTACATTTAAATAAAACAATCGATGGCGCCAAATTTTTTTAAATAAAAAAAAAACGAAAAATTTAATTGAATTTAGTTTTTTTTTTTTTTTTTTTTTTAATTCATTTGGCGTTTCGACCGCCATTGACAAGCCAAAAAAAAAAAAAAACGCGGCCATCTTTGTTTTTTGTTAAAAACCATAAAAAAATTAATTATTTAAAAAACGTTTCATTATTCTTATTTTAAATAAAATTAAATTTAATTAAATAATTAATTAATTAATTATAAAAAAAAAACAAATAAATTAAAATTGTTTTTATCTGTAAAACAATAAATAAAATTAACCGTCATTCAAACTTTTCCAGTTTTTTTTTTTTTTATGCACGTCCTCGCGTAAATTTATGTTATGTCCTATAAAAAAACGAATAACTTTTCCATAATTTTTCCAGAGCGAAGAATGGTTCCAGTTGAAAATATTAGAAGCGCAACCGCAACTGACAAAACTTGGGAAAACTTTCACGGAGGCAAAAGATTTTCTTCTCGCTCACGAAGAAGTTCTTCGGCAACTCGAGGTAATTATTATTATTATAATTTTTCGGGAGGGGAAACGGGGGGGTTTTGTAATTTGCAGTGTGAATAATTACAAAAGTTTATTTTTAAAATCATATCATCGCGTTAAAAATAATAATAATAATAATTTATTTTTTAAACGAAAGTAATAATTATTATTTGTTTCGAACCGATTCGAATTCATTTAAGTTTTTTTTAGTTTTTTAAATAAGAAATTCAAGTTTTTTATTTTTTCTAAAATATTTTCTAAGAGAGCTTTTTTTTGATTCTATTTTCGTTTTTAAGCAATAACTAAAAAAAAAATTGTTTATTAAAAAAAAAAAAAACTGGGGAGTCAAAGCATTAACAATTCGATTTTCTTTTTTTTTTTTTTTTTTTTTTGTAAAAAATAAAACTTTTTTTAAAATTAAAAATAGTTATTTAAAGAGAGAGAGAAAGAGAGAGAGAGAGAGGTAAACAACCTTTTTTGGGGTCTTGTAAGATTATAATTTGATTTTATGTCAAGATTTTAAAACAAACGCACAACAAACACACACGCGCGCGCGTTCTTTTTCATGTTTACGTACGTAAGCATCCAAATGATTGGCATTAAAAAATTTCAATAAAAAAAAAAAAAAAAATCTGCACGCCACATGTACGAAAAAATAAATAAATAAATAATTGAACACGAATTATTAAATTAAATTATTAAAATATATCATCATCATTATTATCATTATTTCCAAATTATAAAAGTTTTTTTAACGTGAAGGGATAATAATGATGGTGGCGGTAATCGCAGCAGCAGCAGCAGCAGATGAAAATAACGGAGAAGATGAAAAGAAAAACAAAATTATCGATATCATACACGACTTTTAGAATAAATAATTAATTTTATTGTTTTTTTGTGTTCGGAAAATAGAGAAAAAAGATACCGTCGAATGTTAAGATGAAAACAGCTGCTGTTGCTGCTGCTGCTGCTGCTCCTACCGTTAATGACTCCATTGTTTTGTTTTTGAATTTTAAAAATGGAAATTTTGTCACGAATGAATATTTTCGAAATTTTTTTACAGATTTGTTTTTTCGACAAATGTTTTCTTTTTTTTTGTCGTTATTGTTATTATTATATAAAATTGTATTTTTTCTGATAAGATATCACAACGTTTAAAATTTTACGATGGGTCAGAATGAAAATGAGACCACCAGAAAAAAAAAAAAAAAAACATGACGTTATTATTTAAATAAAAATAAAAATGAACGACGACAACATCACTCGAGTAATAAATTTTTTTTTTTTTTTTTTTTAAATTGGCAACGAAATACAAAAAAAAAAAAACTAAACAAAACGCACGCGTAACGAACGCGTGAAAATACACATTAACTTTTTTTTAATATAAATAAACCGGAAATGCATAATTTTTTTTAAATTTGAAAAAAAAAAAAACAATGAGGGAAAAACTTTTCTTTTTAAAATATTTCTACGCGATTCAAACGCCATTATATTATTTATTAATCGATAAAGTAAAAGACAATATATATACATAAATTTATCAAAGCACTACTACCAACTTAATGAAAAAAAAAAAAAAGAGAAATCAAATTTTTCCTTATTACGATGGTGAATCAGCAATTAAAAAAAAGAAAATATAAATAATGGCTAATATTATTACTACTACTACTATTGAATACTAATTAGGTAGTAGTAGTAGTAGTGATAGTAGAAAACACTCGAGGCAATTAAATAAAAAAAAAAAAAAAAGTCCCTTTATTATTTTGACCTTTGAATAATAATAATATTTTGCTTTAAAAAACATTTCCAATTTTTTTTTTATTTGCCATCCAAGTCGTTAATCTTACATAAGAGAAAAATGTTTTTCTTTTTTTTTAATTTTACGAGTTAGTTAGCTATAAATACGAAAAAAAAAATAAAATACTATAAAAAAAAAAAACGAAGAAAGCCATTTTGTTTTTGACGGGTTTCCTTTTTTACATAAATAAACATTAAAAAAAAAAAAAAAATTTATGCGTAATAATAATAATAATAAAAAGTCAAAACAAATGTCGTTAAAATATATAAAAATTCTTTTTGATTTTTTTTTTTTTTTTTTTTTTAGAGCAAACAAAGTCCCGTCGAAGAATTATTAAGGCAAGCCGATCAATTAATATCGAATCAAAGACCTAAAGCGGAAGTGTATGCAGCCATGGCCGAATCTTTGGGATCCGCATGGAAAGATATAAACAATTTATTAGAAGAAAGAAGGCAAATATTAGAAATGAACGTCAATTACAAAAGGTAACAAGAAGAATATCAAGAAGAAGATGGGGGTGTTTGCCTCCCCCCTGCGTCTATTTCCACGTCAGATTTTCGAATTCTATCGAGAAAAAGAAAGAAAAAAAAATGGCCGCTAGGTTTTTTTTTTTATTCGCGTAATATTAACAAAAACTATCATTATTTAAATTCCTATAACTTTTTTTTTTTTTTTTTGTTTAATCGGTTTCATCAAAATTTTAAATTGCCCTTGTTTTAAAAGCATTATTATTATTATTATTATTATTATTATTATTATTATTATTATGAAAACTTGTTATTTATTTATTTATAGTTTTTGTTTTAAAAAAAAAAAAAAAAATGTTTGCCGCCGAAAAAATTCTTCTTACACTTTAATTACAATTTTTTTAAAATTTTTATTTTACTCTACCTGACACGTTTGTTTTTCTTTTTGAAACTTGAGGATTTTTATTCATCGCGTGTTGTTATTATAATTAAGACAGTTTGAAAAAGAAGCAGAAGAAAATTTATAGCTCCTTTCGTACTATATATATTTATAAATAAAAAAACAACAAAATAACATTAACGGAAAGTTATAAATAGCTGCTGTCTTAACCCCTCTTTAACTTTCTAATGTATATTTTTTTCAAACAAACGAGATAGGCTGCCACCACCACCACCACCACCACTACTACTACTATTTTAAATAAGATTCCCTTTAAATAAATTATTTATTTAAGTTCTTTTTTTGTTTTTAGGCAAGAAGAAAACTGTTGGAAAAAAATAGAAAATTTAGAATCGTTATGTTTAAACGCGACAGTTCCGTACGAAATCGAAACCGTTAAACAATTGCTAACGAAACTTCATTCTGGTAAAAGAGCCATGCTTGAATCTCTTATGGCGACTTTGCAAGAAGGAAAATTTTTACACGACAAATTAAATATGTTGGCGAAAAAAGGAACTTTGGATTCCCGACCGGATAATATTAAATCGAATGCGGAAAAAGGTTTGCACACTGACTAAATAGATGTAAAAAAAAAAAAATTTCCAATAATTTTTTTGATGGTGCCCCCCATCCTCACGCCCATTCTAGCCAACTAACATATGTACTCCGTTATTTATTTTTGTAATTGTTTATTAAACGAATTCTTCGTTTTTCGTCAAGTCTGTTAATAATGATGATGATGATATAGTGTTTTTTTGGGATTTTTAGCCGTGTCGCAAGTCGAACATTGGTTAGAATCACTTCACGATAAAAGGAAACAAATGGAAACTTTGTGGCAAACGAGAAAATTACAAATAGAACATTGTTTAGGACTCGCAATATTAGCCTCGGAACTTTTAGACGTCGAAAACGTTCTCAAATTGAAAAAAGAAAAACTATTGAAAAATGATAATTTAGGGGATTCGAAATCCACCGCTTTGATTTTATTAGATGAACTTATGAAAATTTTAGGAGATGCACAAGTAAGATGCAAAAAAAAAAAGAAAAAAACTCGAAAAAACCGGGGATTCGTTTTCGATTAACGAAAAAAAAATCCTTATTATTATTATTTTAGAACCTTCAGGAAAAAACGTTGAAAATAACAAATTCGACGGAAAAATTAGCAGCAACGTCTTCCGGTCATTTTGCCGGTGAGGAAGCCATATCTCAATCGTACGCCGTTTTAAACGAATGCGCCGAATTTTTAAATTGCATCGATAAAAGAGAAGAAATTTTGAAAAAAACCGTCGAATTTTTCAATGCAGCCGACATTGTTAGTTGTTGACACGATAATGATAATAATAATGATAATTAATAAATTACTCAACGCATTATTATTTAAAATTTTTTTTTTTCTTTTTTTAAGGCATTTAACAAATTAGATTCTATTGAAAACAAAATGGCGTTATCGGATTTGTCGGATTCTTCGACGGTTCATTCACAAATTTATTCGGAATTAATTGACGCGATGGAAGAATCGACCGAACCTGCCATTTTACTCGGTACTGAAATTTTAAACACGGTCGGACACGATACATACGGAGCAATCGTGCGTAAATGATTATTTCCTTTTTTTTTTGTGTGTGTGTGTGCGTGTGTTTGTACGAATAAAAAACGAAACAAACAAACAAACTTTTTTTTTCGTGTTTCGACAGGGAGTAAAAAATACATTGAATGAATTAAAAAGCAGACGAATTAATTTAGAAGGAATATGCACGAGGCGAAAAGAAGAAAAAGTTCAAGCTTCGCAAAAATTTAACGAATTTTTAGAAAAACACAACGAGGTGATAATAATGATAACAATCCTCTCTATTATTACTATTATAATGAAAAAACTAAAAAAATTTTTTTAAAATCTTTATTTTAGATATATTCCTGGTTGATAACAACGGTCGAATCATTTCTTCAAAGTCATCAAGACATGGGAACCTCGTTATCAGCGAGTCAAGATTATCTTAATTCCCACGTTCAACTCCTGGAAGAATTTAGGGTGATTAATGAACTTCATTGTTTTTATCCAGAGGGATATTAATCGAGACGTCCGACGTTTTTATTATCATTATTATTATTTCGTTTTTCCAACAGATAAAAGAAATCGAATTGAAATCCCTTTTATCGACGATATCATCCATGAGAATGAACGAATCGGATTCGGAATATCGAAAAGATTTAAATGAAAAAATGAAATTTTTACAAGAGCATTGGATGGAATTGAAATTCAAATTGGAAAACAGAATTGATTTGGCAAATGTTTACACGGGTTTTCACGGAAAAGCACAAGATTTGACAAATCGTTTCGATTCTCTCGAAGATGATTTCAAAAGGAAAAAATCCACAATGATGATGATGGCGGACAACGATGTTAAACAACGACAAGAGGAAGAAGAAGAAGAAAGAAAAATTCAAACCGCTCAAGAACTTTACGTTCAACTTTGTCACAACGGGAAAAATTTCACCGACGATTTAGAAAAGGTAATTTTTTTTTTTTTTTTTACAATCGAAAAGTTTAGATCCACGACCCAGGAATGTGGGGGGAAGGGGGGAGGCATAGAAAAAATTAGGGAGGGTTACAAATGCGTTGCAACAAAAAAAAAAATTATTATTCTTTTCGAAATGATTTAGTCTTTTGCTAACTAATAATAAAAAATCACGACTGAAAACTAACATAAATTATTATTATTATTATTATCACAACTCTTCTGTTACGTAAAATTTTTTTTTGGCGACCATCGAATGTTCCATGAATTCGACCCATTAAAAATTTAAATGTCACAAAAGAAAAGTTGCATTCTTACGATAACATAAAACCATCGCGCGCGGGACGCAAACCATGAGAACAAACAAACAGACAAACATAAAAAATTTTTTTTTCATTAGTGCCAAATTTTTATGTGCAGCCATTCAGACAATGATTAAAAAAAAAAAAAACAATAATAATAATAATAAAATAAACACATAAAACATCAATCGGGGGGTTTATGGTTGGAAAATTTAAAATTTTTATTTTTTTATTTTTTTTCAAGACTCGTAATTTACACGACGCGCGATAAACTCATTAAAAAATTATTATTATTATTATTATTTAATACGATAAGTTATGAGCCAAAAATTAATTTGATTTTTACACAACGGCTACTAACTAGAATTGCACCGTTTGATTTTTTTTAAAAATAATAATAATGATAATGCTACAGCATTAAATTTTAAGAAACAAAAAAAAAATGAAACATTATTTATGTTTTCGTATAAAAAAATTTTTTTTTTTTTGTTTTCCTGACAGTTTACATAAACATAATTGAAATATATATATGTACATGAAAAACAAAACGGAAACATTTTAAATTTAATTAAATAACAACATAATTTTCCAAGAACATAATTTTTAATGAAAAAAAACAAAAAAAGAAAAAAAAAATAGAAAACAAAGCCAAAAAAATGTCGAACGTAAATTTTCTTAAAAAAAAAAAAAAAATTTAACCGGATATTTTATTATCGATCCTTTCGATAAATTTTATTTCCGGAGTAAATTGACGTTGGTGCCAAAACGTTTTCTTAATTTTTTTTTTGTTGGTTTTTTCGCGACGAAAAAGCAATAATCGAATGATTAAAATGATAATCAATTATTTAGCTTGTAATAGCAATGATAATAATGATGATGATGATGATGATAATAATAATAATAATAATATTAATCGAATAAAATGATCTCAGTGAGACTTAGAAGAATTGTTGCGACGTCGTGGGTTATAACAACACGAAACCTATTCATCGGGCATGCAGTAGCATCACTGCAATATTCAGGAATTTATTCCCTAGGGATCAACGGGTAGAAACCTGGAATAGAATTGTTGAAAAACCTCCAAAAATCTTTCAGACAAATCGTCGAAGGCTAAAAAGTTTTTTTTTTTTCGTTAAATTATTTGATTTTCACTCTTGAACTTTAAAAAAAAAAAAAAAAAAAAAATATGGTTTTTCGTCAAAAGACGAAAAACCATATTTCGATCGTAAATTGTAAAGCCAATTTAAACAATAATAATGATGATGATGATGATGATAATAATGATGATATTGTAACGTTTTTTTTAGTTATACCATTAGTGTTTTCGTTGAATAAAATTTGGCTCGAAATCAAATCGCGTTCGTTTCGTATACAAAATTTTCATCCGCTCGTTTTCGAAAACCGTAATAATAATAATAATAATACGATCGGGCCAATTTTTGGCTGTGAAACACGACAGAGACTCGAAATTCTCTACTAATATTTCTCTCGCCGATATTCGAATCTTTTTTTTTTTTTTCTCGAAAATGTAAAATGAATGATTTGTACATTTGTTTCAACGGTTTTCCAATATGTTTTTATTCAACGCGAAAAAATTTCTTTTTTTTTTGCCCCTCTAGGTTATGGATCAGTATGTCGATGTGAAAAGAGCTTCTCTCTGTGTTGATACAATTTTAAATCAGTTGGGAGGACGACAATTGGACGTGTCTGATGCATGGCGAAAATGGTTAACGTCTATTAATTATAAAAAGGATATTTTTAATAAATGGAATAAAAATATGGCGGATTCCGTAAATGTAAGTTTTTCTTTTTCTTTCTTTTTTTTTTATTAATTATCACCATCATCATCGTCATCCCCTTTTCGTTTGGGGAAAAAAAAAAATACTTATCGGAAAAATTTCGATTGATTTTTTTTTTTTTAAATTTTCGATCATGACGTTCGTTATTATTAATTATTGATTATTATTTATTTATTTATTAACCGAAACTGATTTTAACAAAAGAAATTATTTTTTTACGGAATTTTTTTTTTTAAAGTCATAGATTAAATAAACTAATCTTAAACATAATCACAAGAATTTTCATTTATTTATTTATTTATTTTTCCCCATTTTTTTGTTTAAAAATGTCGTCGTAATTTTTTCCTTTTTTTTTCTTTTTTTTGTATATACATTCTCTGTCAAAAGAAATAAAAAAAAAAACTTTACAAACAAATATTGTTTAAAATCATTTCTTTTCTTTAAATATCTACTGGCACGATTATTATTTTTACACATGTTAAAAATTTAATGGAAAATGTGTGATTGCGAAATTTTCTTTTTTTCTAAAGACTTTAGAGTGGGTAACGAAAATTCAATCTCAATTGTTTCCGATACTTTTGGAAGACTACGAAACGTGCAATGACGTTTTAAGAGAATTAGAAAGAAAAGAATCTATCGTTATACCGGAAATAAAAAAATCACAAAATGATATCGAAACGAGAATAAAAGAAGCTGAAGAATTAGCATTGAAGGGTAAGTAAAAAATTATTATTATTAATTTTTTTTTTTTTTTTTGGGGGGGGGCGAGATTCACGATTGAAAATAAAAAAAATTGGAAATTGTTTGAAAAATTGGATTTGTTTGCTCTCTCTCTCTCTCTCTCTCGTTAGACGTTTCATTAAAAAAAAAAAAAAAAAAAGAAGAAAAATTTTACGTTCGTGTGAGAAACAAACAACGCGAAACAAACAATCGAATTCGTTTTGTTTTATTAAACGGTTGTTCTATTGCCAAGTTAAATTCATTGTATATAATTGAAAAAAAAAAAGAACGTTTTCATTTATTTATAAATTCGCTTTTTTGTTTTGTAAAAAAAAAATTTAAAAATTCAACGGCCGAATAAAAAATTATTATTATTACTATTATTATTATTAATTTTTTTTCGAACGTCAAATAAAAAAAAAAAAACATTTTTGCGAACGGCGTTATAACATTTTTGCTTTGGCTGTCGTTTTTTTTTTTTTTTTTTTTTTTGTGACGACTATTAATCATAAATCATTGGTTTTTATAAATTGGCATTTTTTAAAATTTGGCAAATGTTTCTTTTTTAACTAATTTTTTTTTTTTTTTTAGGCGAAGTCCCACCGCCGGAGGAAAATCAAAAAATATTAAAAGAATTGATGGAAGTCCATGAAAAAAATCAAAATACTTTGACGGAATATCAAGTTTTGGTGCAAATGCTTCAATCATTTTTTAAAAATTTGGCCGAGGTGAGATGGATTAAATTTAAGTTGAAAGTTCTCACTAACTTTCTTGATTCAACCCAAAATAAATTTATTTATCACAAAAATTTTTTTTAAATCAGGTCGAAAAAACTATCGATAACACAAAATTAAATGAAATTTTGAACGGTGCGAAGAACAAAAACGTTCAACATGTTGAAAACGTCATGAAAGAACACGAAGTCTACTGTCAAACCGTAACCGAATTATTTAAATTTACCAAAGTCGAATGCGATAGCATAATTAATAAAATAAACGGATTAGAACCCCCTCACGTGAGACAAATAGACGTGAACAAAATAAAAGAATTTTTCAACAAGAGACAAAATGATTTCGAAACTCAAAGCACGGAAAAAAAATACGAATTAGAACAGGAGAGACAATTGTGTCAGTTCGACGAAGACCTTAGAGAAATCAATTCGACGTTGAGCGATTTGAACGATCAATTGGTATCGATAAGAGGTCAATATGGAGAATCTCAGGTGACGGCCAAAGCAACATCACAAGCATTTGTATTTTTTGAAAAAACAATCGAGCTTTTAGAACAAAGGATAAAAACTTTTGTTGAAAGCGGAGAAGATTTACTCAGTTCGAATCATTCTTCTTCTCCGCACATAGAAAGAGAATTGAATAAGATGAAAGATAAGTGGAAAGAATTTTACGAGCAAGTCAAAGAGAGTCGAAGATTGATTGATTTGAGCATCGAATATTATACTCTTATCGACGAAGCCGAAGAATGGTTCAGAGAAGGTAGCAAGTTGTTGGTTGTGATTGCAAGGAAAACAACACTGGTTAGAAAACCGGAAGAAGCCACGGAATTGTTAAATGAAGTTGCTACTTTTTTGAAACCCGGTGAAGTTAGACAAGATGAAAGAATTAGAAAAATTGGACAATATGCAAATGAATTATTCGGTAAATTTTTTAAAAAATTTGAACATCTTTTAGATTTTTTGTGAAAATTTTTGAAAATTATTTTTATTTGTTTTAGGAAAAGAAAGTTCCAAGCATATACTTTCGGTGGTGAGCGAAAATCGCGAAATGATTGAATCGTTCACGCTCATCAGTCAAGAACTGAGTAATCTTGCCGAAAATTTGAAAGAATCGGAAATGGAAAGAGAAAGACTGAAACAAGAACAAAAAGAAATGGATGATAATCTTGCTGCTTGTAAAGCGGAAGCTCTTGCAGCTAAAGCTGCTGCGGCAGCTGCAGAAGAAGCTAAGCGTGCTTCTGAACTAGCCGCGAAAGCTTTGAAAGAAATAACAATCACAACTCAAATTCATAAAGTTGAAATCACTCAAGTCAATTCGGTGTCTAGCAAAGATAGATATTCATCTCCTCCGAAAAAATTAAAAACAGACGACGGAGAACCACCGGACTTTGTCGTACCTTTACGCGATGCCACCGTGCGGGAGGGTGAAAAATTTGAATTTAAATGCAAAGTGTCCGGTCAGCCAACTCCTGAAATAATGTGGCTCAAAGATGGTATGGCTGTCGAAAGTAATCCCGATTACCAAACTGAATTTAACACCGAAGAAAACACGTGTAGTTTAAAAATTGATGAAACGTTTGCGGAAGACACTGCGACATTCACGTGTAAAGCCATCAATTCTTTTGGATCGGCTGAAACAAGCGCTTTATTGACAGTTGCAGGTACTTTAAAAAGAAAGGAAAAATTTCTATTTGTTTGATGACAAAAAAGCAAAAATGAATACTTTATTTCAGACACAGTTATTGATGAAAATCTTACTCCTCCTAAATTTACCGAACCTCTTAAACCCATCACCTGTAAAGAAGGAGGAACGTGCGAATTATCTTGTCGCGTAGAAGGTTATCCACTTCCAACAGTTCAATGGTATAAAGATCAAAATTGTGTGGATGACGTTCCCGACTATATAATAACTTACAATAACGGTGAAGCAAAGTTAAAATTTGAACAAGTTTTCCTAGAAGATCAATCGGAATACACATGCAAAGCAACTAACAGTGTTGGCACAACAGAAACTACAGCGTATTTCACTGTCGATCGTAAGTTCATATTTTCCTTTACGTAAAGTTTTTCTTTTTGTCATCATTTACAACTGAATAAATATTTTTAGCTCTTGAACCTACAACCGCACCTGAAATAATTCAACCGTTGTCTAACGTGATGGCGAGAGCCGGTCAAAAAGTAAAATTAGAATGTGAAGTTTTTGGATTGCCGGAACCGGAAATTTCATGGTATCACGATGGAAAACCTCTCAGAGTTAATCATGACATAATCGTAATTATTTAATTTTTTTTTTTTTTTTAATAATTTTAAAAAAACTCTCATTCACTGATTACGAATTTTTTTTTTTTTTTAGACGACCTATAAAAAGAACATGGCTAATTTATGCATTTCTGAAACTTTTCCAAAAGATGCTGGAGTGTATAAAATGGTTGCTAAAAATATAGCCGGAGAAGCTATCAGCACGTGTAATGTTTCCGTAAAAGGTCTCTTACCGACCGAAACATCAGATTCAGAAATGGCGAGCGATGTAGAACCTACGAAACCTTCGATACAATTACAATTAAAAGATCAATCGGTCGTAGAAAAAAATACAGTGCTGATGGAATGTATAATCGTCGGCCAACCCGAACCTGAAGTTATTTGGTATCATAATGACGAACCAGTTAAAGAATCAGATGACGTTATATTGATTTTTTACGGAGATCATTGTTCCCTCTTATTCAAAGATGTTTATTTGGAAGATGCTGGAGTTTATAAAGTTGTTGCCATAAATTCAGCTGGTGAAGCGAGCAGTTCTTGCTACCTTTCTGTTTATCGTAAGTAAAAGAATTTTGGGTTTAAACGTGTAACGAATAAATAAAAAAATAAATTGAAAAAAAAAAAACAAAATTTTAGCCGACGAAGAGGAAAAAGATGAAAACGTCGAAAAAGAAAAAAATATCGAAGTGACTCATGAAAATGTAAAAATAGAAGAAGTTGTTGAAGTTGAAAGCACGAAAGTTGTTGAGACTGATGAAAAGGAAAAATCCGAATCTGAAAATGTGAAAATCGAAACGGAAGATGAAAAATTAGACAGCGAAGACGTTAAAATAGAAACGGTCGACGATGAAAAATATGAAATGGAAAATGTTAGTTTAGAAATTCAAGATGACAAATTGGAAAGCGAAGGAGGTATAGTGGTCGAAACTGACAATGAAAAAGTTGATGGTGAAAGTGAAAATCAAATAATGATAGACGAAGAAGAAAAATTAAAAAAAACTTTACCCAAATTTACAAAAACATTAACCGACGTGAGTGTCGAAGAAGGAGAAAAAGTTAGTTTTGAATGTTGTGTCATAGGCGAACCCAAACCGGATATCAAATGGTATAGAAACAATCAGTTAATAGGAATTACGCAAAATGTTCAGGTGAGATTGAATTTTAACTTCGAATTCATAACGAAAAAAAAAAAAATTCTTATTAAACTTTTCTCTTCGACATTTTCACTCAGATGGATGAAGATGCCGATGGCAATGTTACTCTAACCCTTACCGAAGTGACACCCGAAGATGGGGGTACATTCAAAGTAAAAGCAATCAATTCATCCGGTGAAGCAGATTCAATTGCTCAACTAAACGTCAAAACGGTTAAACAATATGAAATATTAACCGAAGAAAAAGAAGAAGAAGATGATTCTCCGCCCGTGTTTACCAAAAAATTTAATGACGTCACAACTAAAGAAAACGAACAAGTTGTATTTACGTGCGCCGTGGAAGGGAAACCAAAACCTGAAGTAAGTAGTACTCATACCTTCCCAAATGACAAATTACGAATCAGAAATACCTGGGAAAAATTTATATAGGCGTTCAGCAACAATTAACATGCGACATTTAGGGGGGCAAAAAAAATTTCCTAGCAATTCACACAATACAACAGACACCATTTTAAAACCATAGACAAAAAAATTAAAATTGCCTTACTAAGTTTTTTTGCTTAAAAAAAAAAAACCCGCTAAAAATCTATGTAAAAATTATTATCGTTAGCCAAAATTTAATTTTTTTAGTTCGAGTATTTACTTAGCTTATGTCATTGTCATTTTTTTCACGAGCTCATTACCAGTAATTGAAGTGAAAAAAAAAAAAATAATAATAATAATAAAATAAAATAACAATTTTTTTTTTTTTCTTTAAAATTTATTCGTTTCTGCGATTTGGAAAATGAGAAAAATAAAAAATTTTTTTTTCTGCTCGATCGACATTTATTGTTGTTGTTGTATTTCAAATTTCATTATTAAAATAAAACTGCAAAATTTGCAAATTTTTTTTTTTTGTCTCACTTGATAATAAATCAAATTTAATTATTTTGCGTAACGGTCAAACAGTCGAATGAAATATTTCTATATATTCGCGAACTCTCTTGGACAAAATTAACATTTATTTTTTGGTAACTCTCTCTTGCCAAAAAAGGTAATAATTTTTCAAGGTTAAATTTCTCGTTTCCTGTTGCTAAGGGGATTTTTGGAAACGGAAAAAAACGTATTGAAATTGATTAGGTGATAAGTTAAAAAGGGTTGCAAAACACAAGTGGTGTTATCTTACGTTAAAACAAAACTGACCAATCAGAATAGACTTGACATATTTTCTTCCCGCTTTTTTTCCCTATTATATTATACGGAACGCCATGGATTCGTCAGTGTTCTAGAAGCTTTTCAACACCTTCATCACGACATGACGCTGTCATCCGGTAAATTTTTTTTATTTTAAGAAAACTTTTAAATTAAAAAAATTATTTTTGCAAAATCAAATATTTCAACGTGTGTCATTTGTGTTAATTGTTAATTACAGGTAAAATGGAAAATAAACGACGTAGAAATCACATCCAACGATAATTATAAATTATCGAATGATGGAAACGATTACGAATTATGCATATTTAAAGTTGGGCAAAAAGAAACTGGAAACGTTTCTTGCGTGGCCGAAAATGAAGCTGGAAAATCAATTTACACGGCTAAATTATCCGTAAGGGGTGAGTAAAAAACTTTTTTTTCAAAAATTGTGTAAATGTTTGACGATTCTGATCAATTTCCACTTTGTGCTTTTACTCCCGTTGCTCTTAATAGTTTGAGGACTTATCATATAATAAATTAATGGACTTACCGAATTTCTCATAATCCTTTATGGCACTTGTTATACAACCACAGTAAACTTAATACAAGCACAAACACAGTAAACTTACTTAATACAGGCACAAACACAGTAAACTTACTTAATACAGGCACAACCACAGTAAACTTACTTAATATAGGCACAACCACAGTAAACTTACTTAATATAGGCACAACCACAGTAAACTTACTTAATATAGGCACAACCACAGTAAACTCACTTAGTACAGGCACAAACAGACTAAACTTACTTAATACAGGCACAAACACACTAAACTTACTTAATACAGGCACAAACACACTAAACTTAATACAGACACAAACGCAATATAAAGTTATAAATGTAAGTAAAAATGAATGCCACTACATCCACCTGTGGATGCACTGAATGACGTCACAGACTGTAACGAACAAATTGTCTAGACTAAATCTGGAGACTAGTGAGACGCCATTTATAAGTCGATCCGTTGACCAATCACAAGTTAGCTACGGTGCAACTTGGTACATGACTAGGGATGAATGTTTGCCTGACAATTCAATGGAGAGAAATTTTTTTTTGAATTTTTCGAAAAACTGTTTAATTATATTGAGCAATTTTTTTTTTTTTTTTGAGAATTATCGGATTAATTAATTTCTTGATTAAAATTTGATATGAAATTTGTTTTGTAAAAAAAAAAAAAAAAACGAAACGAAACGAGTGTCGCGCCTAAAATTTTTTTCCCCTAAAAATTTATACCCCAACAATTTGCTACGCTGATAAAATTAATTTATTCAAAATGGCACACGTAACAATCAAAAGCGACGTTGCGAATTTTCTTCTTCTTTTTTTTTTTTTTTGGCAATCGTCATTAACGTGGAGAAAAATTTTTTTTTTTTTTTTTTTTTCGGTCACTTTTAAATAGTTCACTGCCTTCATTTTAACGATAAACGTTTTTTTTTTTTTTTTTTTATAAAGAAAAATAAATTATTCAAAAAAAAATTTGATTCGTTAATTTAATTATTATTATTATTATTATTATTATTATTATTATTATTATTATTATTTTTTGATATGTTAAATAATATCGCGAATTATTAACGAAAAAAAAAAAAAAAAAATTTGTAAGTATCTTAAAATGTTTTTTCTTTTACTTTTTTTTTTTTTTTGGGATTTGATTTACGAAATGCATTTATTTGTACCTGTTTGTTAACGCGAAATATGAATGATACCTGTTTCTTCTTTAAAAGAAAAAAATGAATTAAATCTAAGTTTTCGAAATAAAAAATTTCTCAAATGCGATACTCATTATATATGCATTATAATATTGTAATTATTTCGTTTAAAATAAATCACAGCAGACGAAATTAAAGTGATGATGATGATAATAATTGAAGCGGAGGGGGGGGGAATTGCCTTTTAATTATAAGATTAGGTTTGTAAATCATGGAATATGAATAAATGTCACGTTATTAAATTGTTTAATTATTAACAAAAAAAAAAAGAAAAAAAAGAAAAATGGACGCGATATTTATAATTAGTTATATAATAATTTTTATTTTATTTTTATATTTTTTTTTAACGTCACGCATTAAAACTGTCGTCACTCTTTCAAAAAAAAAAAAAAACATGTCATAACTAAAAAACACGAAAATATTTGGCTGAGAATAATAATCGAAACAAAAAAAAAAAAAAAAAATTTTTCTCAGTGATGATGATGATGATGTATTTAAATAACATTTATTTAATTAATTGATCGGAAAGGGGAAAATAATGAAACGTCATTTATATTACGTCATCGTAATCGTGTAATGAAAAAAAAAAAAAAAAATATTACCGCTGAGTAAAAATTTTTATAGAAATTGTTTTCGCGATGTTTAAAATTTTTTAGCGGGAAAATGAATGATTGTTTTTTTTTCTCTCTCTCTCTCTCTCTCTCTCTCTCTCACGATCAGATTCATCTCTTCATAAAGAAGTTAAATTAATTCCGTTTATCGAACCGAAAATAACCACAAACATGGAAATATTCGATTCGTCAAAATTGACAACGAAACGAGAGATCGTTATGGAATCGATGACGTCATCGTCGAGTAACAAAATAATTTCCTCGTCGTCGTCGTCGGCGTACGGGCCTTCTTCCGGAGAGCCGAACGTTGAAGTTCACAGTTACCTGTCAAAAGATGAAACTTCTGTTACTCAAATCAACCAACAGCCTGTTGAAGAAGTAAGTTTGAGAGTTTTTAAGTTTTTTTTAATTTAATTTTTTTTTTTGATTTCCTGCCAGGAAAAACTGTAGAATTATTTCTGTTGTATGAAAAAAAAAAAAAAATAAGTGGGAGAAAACAAGTCTTTTTTTCTTCATTTATGTGTCACTTTCCCCTTTTTTCTATTTTTTTCTGTCAAAATTTTTAAAAAAAATTTCTCCCCCCCCCTACCACCCGTTTAAATTTTTAACCGCCATTTAAAAAAATAAAAAATATCGAAAATTTCTTTATTATTATTATTATTATTTTTTTTTTTTTATGAATTTGTCATATCGAATGTTATGTAGCAACCCGGTCTTTTAAATATTGAAAAGAGCATTTAAATTTTTCTGACGTCACGTTAATTTATAAGATGATTATTTTCATTTATTATCAAACTTATTAAATGATAAGACACGATTATTACATTCCTAAATACTACGTTAAATATAAAAAAATTATTTTTCTAATGGTACGTTTTTTTCGGAGACACGCTTTCCTGAAGTTTTGCTGCAACAGCAAAAGCTGCAGACGAATTTAATAAGGGAAATATAAATATCTCGATGCGTTCTCCCTTTTTTTTTCTCTCAATGACCTAAAATACGTTTTTATTTTTTTTACATAGGTATTTCGTTTTATAACTTTTTGAATACTCCCGAATCGATTAAACACTTTATGTTGGCATTGTTTGTTTGTTTCTCTCTTTCTCTTTAAATAAATAAATAAATAAAATGTCAAGTTTTAAATTAATTTAAAAAAAAAAAAAAATTTGCGTTTAAAGGTGACGAAAAATATTTAATTAAATGAAACAACAACAGGTCATAATCGAATTTAAAAGAATTTTTTTTTTTTTTTTTTTTTTTCAAAACTACCTGGTATAAATGAAATGAAAATGAATAATTAGGCTTCGACGATTTTGTTTTTAAAAATAAAATAAAATTAATAATAATAAAACAAGTTGTAACAAGAACTCCACGTTTTTTCTTGTTTTCGCATGCCGATTTATCATGATAATCAAATTGAAAATTTTTCTTTCCTTTTTTTTTTTTCCAATAGTTTATAGTAATATCAGAGAATATACTAGTTTACAGATTCTTTATTATTATTATTATCATCGTAATAATAAATTATTAAGGTTAAGTGTCCTTAAATGTTATTTTTTTTTTAAATGTGAAACTTTTTTTTTTTAAGGTTTTTTTTTTTTTTTTTGGAGGGAGAATGTGGAGGGTTTAATTTGAAAATTTTTATTTAAAATATAATTTTCCGCCATTTTTCAAAAAAAAAAAAAAAAGTTTTTTTGTCGATTAGTGTTTGTAAATTAATTTTTGTTTTGTTTTTTTAGGTAAAAAGTCATGAATCTAAAGAATATCATAAGAAAAATAATGATGTTATTGTCAACAAGGAAGATTCATCGTTAGTAACAACAAAAACTACGGATAATCAAATTGAAGGATTAGTTAAATCTAATTCTTTGCTCATGTTGGGCCCTAAATTGGCTCGAAAAAGTATGGTACCTAAATTTGTGACACCTGTACAGGGTAAAATAGTTAATCAAGGAACGGATGTTGAATTGTTGGGAGTTATCGAAGGTAATTGACGTTGACAAAAATTTTTTTTTTTTAAATTTTATTATTATTATTATTATTTGACATTTGGAACCAAAAAAAAATTATTTAACACGTTATGATGTTTTTTTGGTTGTTTCGAAAACTTTACTTTTCGAGCAGGACTCATTAAAATTAAGAAGCATGATGATGATGATGATGATGAAAAATAAAAAAATGAAATATTTGAAGTTGATCCAAATCGATTAATATTTTTTTTTTTTTTTATATCACATTTAAATTTCTCTCTCTCTCTCTCTCTGTCTTTTTCTAGAAATTTTAATAAATTCATAAATTCATTGATATCTCATGATCTTTTTTGAAATTGTAATAATACTTGCGTCTTTTAAATTACTTCAATTAAATATTTCAATAAACTCTTTCTTTGAAAAAAAATGTTGACAAAATAATCAATCAATTTTTTTTTTTTTTTTGTTAAAACTTTGCCAATTAATAATTTTGTCCCATTTTTTTTTGTTTGTTTCGCAGGATATCCGCCTCCTACGATTACTTGGACTAAAAACGGAGTAAACGTCGAACCGGTTGATAATAAAATTGAAATAAGTTTCGAATTAAATCAAGCGAAATTGAAAATATATAACACGACTCCTGATGATGCGGGAAAATATTCATGCCAAGCTGCTAATAGCGTCGGTACGGCTACCAGCACGACAGATTTAATCGTCAAAAGTAAGATTTTGGGTCTTGATTCACCGCCTCCTTTGGTTTTTTTTTTTCGAATGACGTAGACGCGACGAAAAATAAAAAAAAAAAATTTTTTTCCTTTCAACAAATTGATATCTGGCTGTAATCCAATGGAAATGGGCATAAGTTTACATATTTTTCAAATGTTATCTTTAATAACCCATGTAAATTTTTTTTGTAGAATCGGTGTTTCCACCGGTTTTGGGAAAAAGACTTCAATCTCAATCGGTTCCCAGAGGAGAAAGAGCGAGAATGGAAGTTGAAGTTACGGGAATGCCCGAACCCACTGTTGCATGGTTTAAAGATGATGTTCCTATTAAATCATGTGAATTATTTAGAATAATCAGTCAGGGTCATTGTCACACTTTAATCATCGACAAAGGTTTTTAATAATAAAAATTTTTTTATTTCGTGTGTGAACTTAAATTGTAATTTGCTTTATTTTATACTGATGTTTGTTTATTTCTGTTAGTAAATGATGAACATTCGGGAAGGTATACTGTAAAAGCTACTAACGCGGGTGGTATGACTCAAAGTATAGCAGATTTGGTGGTAGGGGAGGAAGGGCAAAGTGAAAATTACAGTTCAATCACTAATTATCACGATAAAATTCAATCGGCTGTGCAATTGGTAAGTAAAAATATTTTTTTTTACGGTAATATTTTGAATTTTATAATGATGAAATTAATTTTATAATAAGATCAAGGAAAAAGTTTTTATCACGCAAATTTTTATATCAACTACCTACAGGTGTTAAATATTATTTTAAATTATTGTTGTATGTAATTATTGTAAAGAAATGACCGAAATAATAATAAACGTTATCTGTTAATGTCTGATTAGAAGCCGGAACCTTCGGATAAATCATCATCGGAAGTTAAAATGGAATCTGAAAAAACAGTAAAGAATTTATTTGATACTGAAAATGAGATAAAACCCGAAGATTCCGTTACTGTCACCGAAACAACTAAAACTCAAAAAATAATACGTGTAAAACTTGAAAGAGAGGGTTCTCCTGGTAAAAACGAAGATGATAAACCGCTAGAACCTAAAATTGAAACGAAAATAGAAAAAATAGTAGCAGTTCATCTTCCGACGGACAAAACTTCGACGGAAGAAACTGATAGTTCATTAAAAGGAACACAAAGTTCTTTAGAATTTTTTAAAGATTTATTGAGTAAAAACCGTGAAGATTCATCAGAAAGTAAAACCGTCGAGTCTAAAGTGGAGTCGGTTGAAACGACCTCGGATTTGACGAACGTTATTCCCTCATCCGAACTTTTTGGAAAACAATCAAAAGTAATTTCGGAAATAAAAACAGTCAAAAGTGGAGATAATGAAATGGAACCGACAATTGCTGAAAGTATAATGCTACCCACAACATTAAAATTAGCCAACGAATCATACTCATTAGTTAGAGAAGAAAAATCTTGCGTTAAATCGGAATCTATTGAAAAAAAAATTCACACCGTATTTGAAAAACCTCAATGCGATTTAAAGCTAACAATGCCTCAAACCACAGAAGATGAAAATCAATTTGTAATTAAACCGGAACCTCCACCAGAAGTGGGTTTTATTCCTGGTTCGGAAAAAAGTAAAATTTTTGAAGATGTTTCTCAAAAAGTTAAAAAATTGGAAGAATTCAATAAAGCTGGTTCTCCAGCAGAACCTCCTTCTGGCGGAATCAGATTGTTACCATTGGTTTTTCCAAAACCTGTTCAACCGGAAATGCCACAAAAAAAAGAAACGGTTGTTGAAAAAGAAAGAGTAATAGAAACGCTTCCGCCACTTTCATGGTTATCAGACGAATCTTTTTCTAAAGAAGATAAAGAAGTATTTCAATCGACTCAATCTATCTCTATTAAAGAAGAAAAAGCCCAAAATCAAACAATGTCGTCCTATGTTGAGCCTGTTAAAAGTATACCGCCGGCACAGTTACACTTACCCAAACAAAGAGATCACAGACCCACATCTCCTCGTCCCTCTGCGGAAGGTATAGCTATGGAAAAATTGTGGACTGCCAAAAAACCGTATGAAGATTATCAACCGTTATTAGAGCCTTCTAAGCCTGCTACCATTTATAGACCGTCGTCTAGTTTGGAGCCGATGAGAGCAGCTTCGCCAAGACCTTCAGCAGAAGGTATTGCAATGGAAAAATTATGGACTCCACACAGATCTGCTGATAATTCACGACCAGCGAGTTCTTTAGGATTTTCCAATGTTTCTCCGACACCAAAGCCATCTCAGGAAGGAATAGCGATGGATAAAATCTGGAGTCATAGCCATAAAGAAACAAGTGTCAATAATAGTTGGCTTTCAGCTCAGCCAAAAGAAAAAATACAACCGACTTATGTGAAACCTCAACCTGTTTTAAAGACTGAACCTTCTACATATTTACCTCAAACAAATGAGACTACGAATTACCAGTCAATGGAAAGTTCAAAAAACGAAAAATACATCAGGCAATTTACAGAAATCAATTATCCAAAAGGACCCGAAATAAAACCATTGCCTCCAAACGTTCCTGTCACTCATTACATTGCAAAATCACGCTTAATTAGGCAAACTCAATCAATGGATAGACACTTGGAATATTCTTCTGAAAGTAGTTCATCGTTACAGCAAAGTTGGTACGACAGCAGTCTTACTCAATCAAATATATCGAATTACGATCTTAAAGCACCTAGCCTAATTCAAAAGATACAGGATTCTGAGAAAACATCGTACCAAACTTCACAAATCGCTCCAGGGCCTCCCCCTGAGTTTTGTATGTCTTCGACTGAATCAAAGGTGTACTCTCCTAAAGTGACAGAAGTTTCAAGTAACAAAAGTAATTTTTACCCACCACCTTCAGGATTTACTCCCGTGCAATCAACAAAGAAAATAATACCTCCAAAAAGGGAATTGAAAAGATCGATTTCTTTGGAATCAAAACCTTTCGAAAGATTTCCTGATCTAGAGCCTTTTCCATTTAAACCAGATCCACCGAGGCCCAAACCAGCCAAATGTCCACCCCCTCCGACACCATCAAAATTTGTTAAATGTCGGTTTACGGAAAGCGATTACGAAAGCGATTACGATTCTCACTATTCGTTAAAATGGAGGCCGTACGAAAGCGATAACGAAGATCTTAAATACAGAAAAGTAAAAGCACCGTCTGCAAATTATCAACCTAGAAGACCTCAATCCACCGGTCCCGAGCCTTTGCCACCTTCGAAATTTGAAAATCCACCTCAATTCTCAGGCCCTCCTCGTCCAGTTATAGATACGTCAATGAAAATATATTCACAAAATGTTACGGAAAACAAAGAGATTAAAAAGAAATTGTCGAAAGTTAAAAAAACATCCCCTCCTAAATTCAAACCGGGATCTCCTCCTAAATTCGTTCAAACAACTCCTAAAAATAAGCCCGATTCACCAAAAGCAAAGCAAAAATTATTTAAACAACCGGATAGTGGCTACATGGCGGATACAGATGAACCATTCGGTTTAAGAAAAACAGAAGAATCTTCGATGGTACAAGAAGATTATTCAAAACAGACACTTTATGAAAGTTACTCTTCGAAAAATTCAATGGTTAATATCAGTAAGAATAAATGCTTGCCATCGTATTGAGTGCTAATAAAAAAAAAAAAAAAAAATTAAATAATTAAAAATTAAATTTTACATTAAATAAAGTGTGGTTTGCATTACTTACAAAATAATATGAACTAATTTTACATAACATTAATAAAATTATTATTTTTTTTTTATTATTATTATTAACTCACAATGAAACGTGATGAAAATTTTTGTTTTTGTTTTTTTTGAAAATGTGTGAAAATGTAAAATTTTAATGTTTGTTTAAAAATGTTTTTTACATGTTCGTTTTATGATATTTCAGGAATACTCGACGACAAGAAAAGCTCTTGAATCGATTCAAAATTTGGAACCTTTTCCATATAAAGTGGAACCCATTCAATCAGCACCGAAAAACTTTGGACCACCTCCTCCTCAACCATCGAAATTTTTTAAAAGAGAATTAAAAGAAAGCGATTATGAAAGTGATTACGAATGTCGAATTCAACCTGTTTGGAATTCGGAAGGTCAGACGTATAAACCAGTAAGACCGGTTTTAACACCTAGTGGAAAACACCATTACGTTAATTATGGCCGAACTCCGACGCCGCCGACGGAATTCGATGTTCCTCCTGTTATGGAAGGTGCGACGAGACCTAAATTTGAGCCTATCGCACCCGAAACCAGGTTACATTCTACATCTAGTCAAATGTTGATCAAACCGAAACCAGTCACGCCGAAAATCTTAAAACCAGGTATTAATTTAAAACCTGGATCTCCGCCAGAAATTGGATTCGCACCTGCTTACCCCAAAGCAGTTGAAACATCAAATATAATGAGTTTTCAAGAAGATACGGAAACTAGTCGCAGAATTGTCAACGTTCAACAAACAACTAGAATGATATCTTTGGAGGGAAAAAAGGAAAAATCGCAATTTGAAAGCAATTACGGAAGTAATTTTAATAAAATGCACTACAAAGATTCCCCGTTTAAAAAAGTTAAATCGGTGGAATCTTATTCAAAATCTAATAATTATTCTTCTCAACAAACAAAGGAGCCTGATATAATACTTCAGCCGGGAGAACCACCAGAGTTGGTCTACGCTAAAATACCAGTATCCGTTGCGTCATCATGTAAGATTTTTAAGTTTTTTAATCGCACCATTTGAAAATTTCAAAACTTTATCGATGTATTAATTTTTTCAGATGCTAATAAACATATCAAAGATATGACGCATTCTTTCAAAACCAAAGCTCAGCAATTTGTCAGCGACGTAATGACGGATACCAAAAAACCAGATAAATCAATATTAAAATCATCATCTCATTCGTCGCAACAAAACGGAAGTACAACGAATGAACCGCATACGTACAGGGAAGAAAACAGGTTTTCTGAAAAAGGTAAGCTTAGAAATTAAAATCTATCGCTGAATATAAAAGTTCAGATGAGAAAAATGAAAATTAAAAAAAAAAATGGATGCCATTCTCTTAATAACTAAATTATAACGTTGGAACACTCAGGAACAAAACATATAGATCCAGATACTGGACTTATTTACTTCAAATACGATTTCGGATATGAATTTGGCATTGTGTTGCCAGGAGAAGGAGGAAAAAAATGCGTGTCTGGTGGTGGGAATAGTAGTAGTAGTAGTAGTAAACCGGAAATACAATCCGCAAAAGGACTGGAAAGTATTGACTTTCCAGTTTTACACGAGAAAACGTGTAAAGATGTTCAATCGTCTCCGGGAAAACCAAAAAAATTTACTCATTTCAAATCGGTCAAGTGGGATCCGATGTCGGAAAGCGAAATGTCTGAAGTCGAAGATTATCAGAAAAAAAGGAACAGCTTTCCAACAAAGGGTCCTCAAGTGACCATACCTGGAAATAGATGGGAATCATCCCCGAGTCCTTTATCAATATCTCCAATGTCGAGTATATCTCCCAAGTGTCAAAGATCGACACCCCTTGACCTATCAGGTAGATCGGTGTTTTAGGTTTTGTTTTACTATAACGAACGATTCGTCATTTTCACCCTTATTTTAAAAATTTTATTGTAGTTTTATAACTTTTAATAATAATAATGATCATAAATATGCATTTGCATGACGCGCTACCTTACATTTTTTATGTACATACATTCATATATTTTATCATTAATATTAAAATTTAGTTTTAGTTTTTTAAAGCGATTAAATTAATAGTAATAAATAAGTGTTGTTAAATTTCTGTCTTTTATTACGACATTTGTATAATTTGTAGGCGTTGCATTAACTCTCGAAATAATTATCTTTATTTGTAGAGTTATTCATTTTATTTTTAAAAAAAATTTTTTCAGTGTCACCTACCTGGAACAGAAGTAATACTCCGACGTCCACTACTCCGGGACTCAATCAAAAAAGTGTTATGAGTCAATCGAAGGAACCTTTGTCGAAACCGAATTTCATAACCGTAAGTTAAAAATTATTAAACTTTTTTTAAAACAATTGTTTTTTTTTTTTAAAAACAATTATTGTTTTGTTGTGGTCAGCCGTTAAGAGATATAGCTGTGGTCAGTGGACAACCGGCAAGATTCGAATGCATCGTACAAGCTGAGCCAACGCCAAACGTATTGTGGATGAAAGATGGTAGAATTTTAGACAACAGTCAATATCACGAAATACAATATAAAAATGGAGTTTGCAGATTGACCATTTTGCAAGCATATCCTGGTAGGTTTAAAATCACGATTTTAATTTAAAAAATTTTTTCATCTTTTTTATTTTATTTTAACGAATGAAATTTTTTGTTCTTTTATAGCCGACAGTGGAAATTATTCTTGTTCGGCAACAAACATGTTAGGCACGGCAGAAACGACGGCAACTCTTATTGTCCCAGGTGAGAAACGAGGAATTAGAGTTGTTTAATATTGCAACGGTGGAGGATGCACGTCATTACAATTTTTTTTCTTTCTTTCTTTCTGTCTTTACGTTATATCAAAATTTAGCTTGTTACTGTAAAAAAAAAAAAAAAAAGAAAATTGTTAATTAATTACAAAGAGAATAACGATGTAATCTTTTTATATCATTATCGTAAATTATAGAGTACTTGCAGAGTATTTATATTAAATGATTGCATATCGCAACCGCCATTGATACAGTTTAAAAAAAAAAAAAATTAATTTCAGAATTAAATACAGAAACGAGCTAAATTTACTACTATTTTTTTGGTGATGGGTAATAATGATAATGTTATGCACATGCATAATACTTACTTACTTTAACTATCAATTTCGATGGGAAAAAGAAATTTTTTTTTTTTTTTTTTTAAATTTTTTTAACTGCCCTTTATCAAAATCATATCTTCATATATATAAGATAATTAGGTTAAAAAAAATATACTTGATAATTTTTATTTTACGTTGACGTATTACAAAAAAAAAAGTATATATATGCGCGTACATAAGTATAGTCATTATTCATTTTTTTTTTTTTTTTTTTTTTTTAATCGTTCTACGATTTGTTTTGTTTTTGTTTTCTCTCTCACTCTCTCTTATGTTCGTTATCGTTCATGATTTGTTTTTGTCCGTATTATTTATCTCACGCTTAATTTTTTAATTTTTTTTTTTTTTTTTGTAAGGAAAAAAGTTTTTAAAAAAAAAAAAAAAAATGATTTTGATAAATACAAAAAAAAAAATATATTATATATTAAAAATGCTATAATATATGCTACTACAATTTATAGCGTGAATTTTATTTTTATTTTATTTTATTTTTTATTTTGCTTTTTCCTTGGTGATGGAAAAGTTTTTATAAAAAAACTTGGTGATGGTTTACACAAAAATATTCTCTCCTTTCCTTCCTTTTTTTCTTTTTTACTTTACTTTACTTCCGGTTGGTTTGTTTTTATTTATTCTGTCATCGAGAGGGGTAAGTAAATTTTAAAATTTTTATCATTTCCGGTTCGGGTGTAAAATCGCTCTATAAAATTTGAATTTTTTTAATAGTTCGTTAGACGGACGAATTATTAATCTGAAAAATTTATTATTATTATTATTATTATTATTATTATTAATGCGCGAATAAAAAAAAGTTTATAATGAAGTAAAAGTAATATTATAGACTATATAATAGTTTTTTTTCTAGAATTTACCGTCGGTTTTAAAATAATAATAATAAGGAGAAAAAATTGAAGCGTTTATTTATAAAAAAAAACTAAATAAATATTGTAGCGCTATAAAAACGCGTAAGAAATAATAATAATAATAATAATTTTTAAAATGTAAGATTACGAAATTGGAAAATAACGTGAAAAAAAAAAATTCCGCAATCATCTTAAATTAAAAATGATCTAATAAATGAATCTTACTTTTTTTTTTTTTTTTATTTTAATCGATTAGTACATTTAATTTTATTTATAATTTTTTTTTTTCACGTTTTTTATTTTCTAGAATAAATTTTTCTAGAAAATTTAATCTTCGGATTTATTTATAGTAATAGTTAGACCTTATCGAAAATATTTTTTTATTTTATTTTTTTTTAAATGAAATAAGAGAGAGAGAGAGAGAAAGAGAGAATACGATGACGATGTATAAGATATAAACGATTTTGATGAAAATCTATGATTGATTTATTATTATTATTATTATTATTATTATTATTATTATTATTATTACATTTTCGTTTCTCTCTCTCTCTCTGTCTATTTAAAAAAGTAAAATAAGAAATTTTTTTTTTCTTTAAAAAAAAATTCGAAGCCCCCCAAAAAAACATAGAAACGAACTTGCGATCGATTCGGATTTTTTTTTAGGAACCCTTCTAATCCGCCATATTTGTATTGAATTTTTTTTTTATTTTTTAAAGTTTATTTTTAGTTTTATGTTTTTTTTAAAAAAAATAAAGTCCTCATTCGGGTATTTTAAATATTACTACATTGATTTCGCTCTGGGAAAAGGGGGGAGGCGGTGGTAGTGATGATGTTGAGGAGGAGGTGGTGGAGGAGGAGGAGGGGAAAAGGGCGTTAATTTTACAAAAAAAATCACAATTGGAAGTTTTTTTTTAAATATTTGTTTATAAATTTTTTTAATTTTTTTTTCGGAAACATTAAAAATCAAATGTTTAAAAAAAAAAAAAATGCTTTTTGTAAACTATTGTTTAATTTTTTTTTTTTTTATTTAAATTTTAAAATTTTAACAAGCATGGTTGCCAAATTTTACATTTCGAATTCGGTGGCGGTCCTTCAAGATTTTTTTTTTTTTTTTTTTTTTTTTTGTTTTCCCACCCATCGACAAAAAACGTTCGAGAAAAAAAAAATATTTGGATGTATAATAATAAACTCACATTATTATTATTATTATCATTATATATAATATTATAAAAAAAAATTGGGGAGCGAAGTTTTAATATATATATTATATTATATAAAATTCGCGAATAGAAATTTTTGTAAAGGGACATATTTAATAATCTAATAGTTATTTTTGTTATATGAGGTTTGTTATTATTGTAAAAATTCTTTGGCATTTTAACCGGGATTTTTTTTTTCTTTTTTTCTTTTTCTTTCTCTTCGTAGGCGTTTCATGACTAGTTAAAGGTGACATTTTCAGTAACGGCGATTAAACAGAAAAAAAACATAAAAAAATAAAAAAATAAAAAAATGAAATGCAATCGAGTTTTTTAGATTTTATAAAATAATATGCATATACATATAATTTTTATAAATTTTTTTTTTACATTTATTTCTTGTAATTAAAATGAAAAAAATTTGTATGATAACGTATTTATTTGTTTTTCTTCATTTTTTGTTGAAAAATAAGTAAAAATAATGAAATAATGGAGAAAGGAAGAAGAAAAAGAAAAAAATTTATAAAGATTTTTAATTTAATGTTTGTTTATGTACATTAAACACTCGAATAACAAAAAAAAAAAAATTGATTGGATTTTTCAAAAATTATAAACACGTGATAAATTTCGATTTGATTTTTTTTTTAATGAATTTTATTTGTTTATTATTTAAAAAAAAAAAAAAAACAAGAAAAATTATGGAACTCCATCGAAATAAATAATAAAGAAAAAAATATATAAAATTAATATGGCGACCGTGCAAAAAAATTTAACGGGGAGGATTTTTTTTAAAAAACGTTTTTTTTTTCTCGATGTTTAAATATTATTTTTGGATTATTCGTCAGCCCTTATTGGCTTTAATCCAATAAATTTTTCGCAAAAAAATGTTAACAACAACAATTGTTTAAAAAAAAAAAAAAGAAAAAGAAAAAAAAGTTTATGTAGAACAAATTATTTTCAAAAAAATTAATATTATTATTATTATTTTTTCAGGTTCGGATGGTGGTGATGGTGATGGTGATGGTGGCGATGATGAAAAGGACGGAAGTGTTTTATTTACGGATGTACAGGAATCGTTAAAAACATGGTGGGATGATGAAATTAAATTTAATCACGATTTATGGTTATCGAATTTTAATTTATTATCAAAACCGGTAAATGATGAATCGAAGGGTAAGTGAATATTTAATTTTTTTTTTATTTTTATTGTTTTTTACGTCGTCGTCGTCGTCGTTGTGGTCTTGGTTGTCGTTGTCGTTGTGGTGTTGGTTGTCGTTGTCGTTGTGGTCTTGGTTGTCGTTGTTGTTGTTGGTTGTCTTGGAGTTTTTTTTTTTGTTTTTCGTTTTTACGACTTTTAAAAATTTTATTAAGTCGCCATATGAAAAAAAAAAATCTTAAAAGCATAAATTATAATATAGCCTTCGTAATCACACTTCGGGTCATTTATTTTTATTTATTTTTTATTTATTTATTTATTTATTTTTACTTACTTACTTACCTACCTATTAGTACTAAATTTAAATTTTTATTTTGACATTGAAAATGGCCAACAGTAAAAAAAAAAAAAAAAAAAAATTATAATCTACGACGGTAATTATTCCCGAAAATTTGGGGAGAGAAAAAAAAGTTATATATGGAAAATTTAAATTTAGAAAAGAGAGAAAGAGAGAGAGGGAGATGAATGGGGGGTGGAGTAACATTTTGCAACATTTTGCAATTTTTTATTTTTTTATTATCGTTGTTGCAAAATTTTTTAAAACAAAAAAAAAATATGATTTTTAATGGTGAAAGAAAACGACACAAATTTTTGTTTGTTTGTTTGTTTGTTTTTTTAAGCACCGATAATAATTTTTATTATTTTCTATATTTAAAAAATGAAATAATGAGAGAGAGGGAGGGGAGGGAGGGAGAGAGAAAATTGTGTTAAAAAAACAGTGTGACAGTTAATTGGATAATTACATTAGAAATAATGTCTTCAAATAGATCAATGAATAATGGCAAAAAATTTTGTTTTATTTTTTTCAAAAATATTAACGACCAAGGTAATTCCAAGGTTTTAGTTTTTTTTGTTTTCGAAAATATAAATTTCTATATTTTGCAAACGGTTAGGCTTTTCTCTGAAATAAACAAATTTATGACGACGATTCGGTAATCTAATATTTTATTATTATTTTCGTCAATGCAAAATATACAATTATCGTATTTTTGCACCTGTTATCACACGCACACACACACACCCTAAAGCGTTTTCCTGACTACGCTCCTTATTTATATACCATTTACCTATTTATTTTCCTATATTTAAGTGCAGAACATTCGGTTTTTGAATTGAGTCCCCCACTCACCCTTAGGAAATTCATCTCTCGCATCGAATTTTCTCGTTTAATTTAAATAGTATTCTGATGCGTCAATCATAACATATTATTTTGTCCTGAATGAATATGATTGATTGATTGAATGAAAAATAATTTGTGAATGAATTTTTTTTTTTAAATAAGGAGAAGATGAAAAAATTATTTTTATACGCGATGAATTTTATTTTTATTTGTAATTTTTTAATTTAAATATATCATCATCATCGTCGTCGTGTGTTTATTATTTTTATTATTATTATTAATATTATTAGAATTTCATAAAATCTTAAAATAAAAAAAAAAAGTAAAAAATTAGTCATTACTAGGTAGGAAGAATTTATTCGTGCTGCTTTATTTATTTATTTATTTATTTTTCATTTGCCAAACGATGCGTAACGTTTTTATTTGTTTTATTTTTTTTTTTATTGAATTTTTTTTTTTTGGCTATTTTCAATAAAATTAAAAAAATTATTTTTATATAAAATTAAAATTCAATACGAAACGGAAAAAATAACGATGATGACAATAGTAGTAGTAATAATAATAATAATGAGTACGAAAAGTGATCGAATAATGTAAGAAAAGTTCTTTTTAAAAAAAGACCATTTTTACCCCACATTCGAACGTGAGAATTTAAAAAAAAGAAAATTTGTTTAATTAATTTCCCGCCAAAAAAAATATAATTAGAAAATTTTTGAGTCATTCGAATAAGATTTTTTTTTTTTTTCGATTCGGGAAAAAAATTATTATTATTTTTTTTTTTAAAGTAATGATTCATGCAACATTTTTACTTTTTCGAAAAAAAACAAAATGGCGACGATTGTAGGAGCAATTATCGTTTCACGGTTTTTAAATTAAAATTTAAAATTTTAAAAAAATAATAAAATGAAAAAGTTTTGACCCGAATACTTGTGTAAAACTAGAAATTTAATTCTCTCATCATTCGAATTATATTTTAGATAATAAATCCCTTATGCAACCGTAAAAGACTATAAGAAAATAATAATAATAATAATAATAATACTGGTGGAAAAAAATTTTTATTTTTCGGAAGAAAATTCGAGTTTTTTTTTTTTTTTTTTTGTTAAACGCACTAACCTCCCCATTCGGTAGCAGGGAAAAAATGGGACTCAGTCGAAGCCACCACCCAATTAAAATTCCTGGGTGTGTTTCCTTTCCCGAAGGGAGGGACGTTCGCGGGAATACAACCTGAAATTCGGTCTCCACCCCCTCCTAAGCCAGAACCACCAGGTCCACACTCGTGAGAATGAAACGGGGAGGAAGGAGAAAAAAAAGGGAATTATTATTTTTTTTTTGTTGTTATCGAACGAGTAACATAAGACACAGTTAAATAATAATAATGATAATAATAATTTTAGACTTCTTTGACTGCACTCTCTGTCTGTCTATTCTTAGACAGAGAAAAAAAAAAAAAATTTTTTTTTTTTTTTTTTTAATTAGTGACGTTGGTCAAACTCCTGCGTCGACGTGATTTTTTTTTTTTTTTTTTTTTTGGGGGGGGGAAAAACATTCGAAGACTACACGCATACACAGATAAATATACAAACACAAACACAAAACGACCGACGTCTGATTCCAACGTATTAATTTTGTACGACCACGGGCTGGGGAAATAAAAAATGACTTAAAAAACTTCTGCTGATTGAAGAAGGAGCCGCGGAGGCTTAATCGAACCATTTGAGAAAAAAAAAATTTTTTAAAACTGGATTATTATTAATTATAAAAGTGAAAAAAAAAATTTTTATCTAGTCAAAAATATTAAGTAAAAATTATTATTAATATTATTTAAAAAGTGGTAAAAAATTAATTTTTTTTTTTGTGATTTAAAAAAAAATTTTTTTTTTTTTCTTGTGATTCGAAGTAAAAAAAATTTTGCTTTTTCGTGCGTATATTGGGCAATTTTTTTTTTTTTTTTGTCAATTGATTTCGAGAAGAAAGGGTATCGATAAAAAAATCATTTAAAATGAATCAGCAAAAGAAGCTACAACAGCAGCAACAGCAACAGCAACAAATGATGCAACAGCAACAAACTGTTCAAAGGCAAGAAATTGTTCAACAAGGTTCGCAACAAGTTTTTCAACAGCAAACGAGAAGAACGGAGCAAGTGAGGCAATATAGTAGTCAGCAATCAGGTACGATGAGTTCGTTATCGCTAAAAAAAATTTTTTTTTTAAATGATTTTTCATAGGTTGGCAATAGTTTTCGAAAAAAAGTTTTGGTCTATTCGATGAGAGAATGAGTAAATGAATGTTTGATTTCGTTTGGTTTAAAAATAAAACTTTGCGGAGGCTAAATTGAAAAAAAAAATTTTTTTCCCTTCCAACGAAAATCGTTTGGCCTATTTTTAAATTTTTATTATTATTATTTTTTTTTTGAACGTGGAACCAGGAGTCGTCGACTGACTATAGACACGATAAAATTCATTTAGCGAGGTCGGAATGCCTGTGATAACTTAATACGATTACCATCACCACCACCAAATTACGCAATTTTTAAAAAAAAAAAATGGGGGGAGGGAATTCTCGTTAAAATATTTTTAAAAATTTTATAGCGCTATAAATGACTATATTATAGCGTTTGATTTTTACTATATATACGTATTTTTACTTATAGGATTTACGGAGGTTTCGTGTTGAATTCAATAACGGATAAAAAAAAAAAAAATTTTTTTAATTTTTATTTCCGGTTTTTTTTTCTTTTTTTACTCAATGTTAAGTATCTCGATTTCGGTTTATGGAACATGGGAGGGGGGGAGTAGGAGAGGGATAGGGATAGGGATAGGGAAAGGAAATCCAAGAAGTAATTAAATTTTTTTAAAAATTCTTAAAACGCCAACACAAATTTTATTTTTGATTCGATTGGTGAGCCGAGATAAATGTTGCATCACCATTTGCAATAATAGTTTTACACCGAACGCCATCATCACCACCACTACTACCACGACGGCAAAATATGTTATTTTTTTTTTTTTCGATTGTGCAATAAGGGGGGAAAAAAAAATTTTTTTTTTTTCTCTGTATAGCAGACGACAAAAAAGAAAAAAGTTAATTAAATGAAGCTTGAAAAGTTTTTGTTTTCGTAAAGAAGATTAAAAAAGAAAAGTAAAATGTCTATTTTCGGATTCGTTGTTTGTTGTCACCGTTTGTTTCGTTTCACGAAATTTGTTAGAACGATTCGTTTCCGGTTTTATTTATTTATTTATTTTTTTTGACTAAATATCGAAACGTGAATCGATGATTATTACTAAAAACAGACTAATTCATCAAAAACTAAAAAAAAAAAAAAATTGGCAAAAGAATTTAAAATTTTAATTAATACAGGGGAAACAATAACATCTGTTTTTGAGACCCTCGGGATTACACGCACGCACTGAAAAAATTGTTAGCAGACGAAAATTTTAAATTAGGGTGAAATTCATCATAATTAGGTTTTTTGGCCCCCCCCCCGCTCCGCCCAATCGATTTAATTTATAATAATAATAATTTATTTAATTGACGGTAATAAATTTATTTACCAGTTAGTTTTTTTTTTTTTTAAATTTGGTCGTCGAATAATTAAACCTGTTTTTTTTATCCCCTTCCGCACGCGACCATACCAAATTAAAAAAAAAAAATTACTTCGTCTTTCTTCGTGTTTTTACGTGGTAAATTAATTTTTATCGATTTCTCTTCTGAACCTTAAGAACCTCCGAAGGAACGAAGGTAGAAGAGAAGAACTGAACAAACTTATTATTTTCGAATTTGCGTAAAATGATGATGGTGATGGTGATGGTGATGGTGATGGTGATGGTGATGGTGATGATGATGACGATGATGATGATGATTCTTTCTTCGAGTCGTTAAAAGTTTTTTTTTTTTTTTTTAAACGTTTCTTCGTGTGTTGTCGTTTGTTGGATGAAATCGGGTGTGGCAACGCCTTCCATCTTAGGTTTTTTTTTTTTTACTACTGTTTTGGTTTTTTTTTTTTTTGTATTTTATTTTATTTATTCACGTATTATATTGAATGATTTATTATTATTTTTAAAGGGGAATGATTCGTGAGGGGGTCTCTCTCTCTCTCTCTCTTTCTCTTTCTCTCCACTCCCATCCCAAAAAAAAAACAAAACAAAACTAAAAATTGTTTTTTTTTTGTTGTTGTTTTTGTTTTGTTTCACGAGATTTATTATTAATACTCGTTCGGTTTTTATTTTTATTTTTATGTCGAACCTAATTTTTTATTATTATTATTATTGGTTTTTCATTTTTTTTTAATTTTTGTTTTTATGTATTGTTTAATAGTTTTATTTTTTTTAAATTTTTTTTGAATAAATCGAATATTGGAAAGTCGGGTTCGGGTTGTCGTTGTTGTTGTTTTTGTTTGTTACGGTATAAAAATACTTTCTCTCGACTTTGCAATATTTGTTTGTTTGTTTGTTTTTCTTCTTTATTTTTTTTTTTGTCGTTGCGTTGTTACGATTGTTTATACTTGTTTTGTTTATTTCAATGGAAGATTATTTTACTTTTTTTAACATCGTATAAATAATATTATTATTATTATTATTACTTTGCGTAAAATTACACCTGAAAAATTTATTAACACTGGTAAAATTTCTTTTAGTTTTAAAAAAAAAAAAAAAAAATGAAGTAGAGCGTGACATGACAGATTATTTACAAGTTGTATTAAATGATTTTCTTCGATGTTGTCGATTGTTTTGTTTTGTTTTGTTTTGTTTGTTTTTTGCAGACGATGAGATATAGGAAGTTTCGATTATCCGATTTCCGGTTTCGGAAAGAAAATCGCTTTTTTTGGTATAACGTGATTATTATTATTATTATTTACTCAAACAAACAATTCACGCTTTAAAAAATTTTTTTTTATGGTTGATTTCCCACCGGTAATAATAATAATAATAATAATAATTATTATTATTATTATTACTATTATTATTATGTTAAAGCGTATTAGGTGTGACGGTATAAACAATCATTCGGATTATTAAATTCACGACACTATTATGGAATTTTTTTTTGTTTTTTTTTTTTTAAATTTTTTTTTCCATATTCCTTCGATATATATCGAAACTTATTATTTTTATCGTTTGTTTTGGAAATCGATACGAGAATCGTAAAATCTCGATATTTAAATTATTTGTAATGATAAATTTCATATTTGCTTCTATGCGCTTGATTGCAAAATAATAGTAATTTATTTACGTTTGTTTAATCCTTCGTAAATTATTTATTTATTATTATTATCATTATTATAGCGATTAATTTTTAATAAAAGTAATTATTATTATTATTATTATTATTATCATGATCACGACGATGACGACGACAACGGGGAAATTAATGAAAGTTGAAAATTTTTTTTCATTTGATTGCATTTAATTTTAAATTTAGGCTGATTGACTCGGTGGCTTGTGAAAATAAAAAAAAAATTTTTTTTAAACAATTAATTTGATAATAATGAATAATAATAATTATATTATATGTTATTATAATTATTATGATAATAATAATAATAACATAAATTATTTAAATTTTTATTCGGAGTCACGTTTAATAATTTTTTTTTTTTTTTTTCAAATTTCACTTCTTATGACGGTTGTTAATTTTGTTTTTCGAATAAAATAATAATAAATTTTTTATAACGGTGTTGTTGACGATGATGATGATGATGACGATGATGGCGACGATAATGATGATGATTTAATTGCAATAATTTGTCGTTTTAAAAACAAAACCAAAGCCGTAAAATATTGTTTTTTTTTTTTTAATTCGTAAAAAAAGGTGCGAAAGAAAATCAATAAGTTATTAATATCGATTAATCGATTCGCAACGACGAGAAAAATCGATAATAAGATAATTATTAAATATAGAAAATGAAAAAAAAAAAAAAAAGTGTCAACAGAAACTTTGGAGGAAAGAGAGATAGGGGGAGGGGGGTGGCAGAGAGAGAGAGAAACGTCAATTATTACTGTTTGACATTCTTTTGACAACCAACTGACAGTGTCATCAAAACAAAAAAAAGTGACGTCGATGACGATGTTTGATTTTTTTTTGTCAGTTCGTACGAAATATATAAAATCTCTTTAATTATTCATCGATTTCTTTTTTTTTTTTTTGGGGGGGGGGAAATTTTATGACGTCGAATAAAGCAGACGAAAATAGTTTTTAAATTCGATCGATAATATTAAGCATAAAAATAAAAATTTTATTTATTTTTAAAAAATAATGGCGAAAAAAAATTTTTTTAAAATTTT